GACGCTGCTGTTGTCTCTCCTTACGTTGAAGCTGATTCTTTTGTTTGTAATGCTGCATTGAACACCTATAACAGGAATCTGATTGTCTGATTTCACTTTGGGGCTCCTGAAATCGGTCGCAGAGGTGTTGAGGCTCGGAGATGCGATCGTCTAGTTTAAAGTTAGGTCGATTTTCATTTGTCTGTTTAGCCTGAAAATGATTTTTATCTGAGGGTTCTTCAAAACTAACAGAGTAGGTGGGGATAGCTGCTGGGATGGAAAGACTAAAGGAAGTGGAGAGTGACGAAAGAGCTGGTGGCTGGAAGCGAAGCACCCGAGTAGGCACTATTGGAATAGTAAAGGGGATAACCTAGTAGAAGACAGGAAAAATAAAAAAGGTGAGGAATTAGAAATGAAAGCTAGTAAGAAATCATAATTAATTAGAGCAAAATCAACATTAAGTGAATACTAAATAGAACCCGAGGGCATCAGAAATTGAAACCCTTTGCCATGAAAATCTACTGGTTATGACATCTGGACACTGGGTATTTCTAGAATAATCTATAAATCTGGGTTGGAACCACACACATTCAAAGTGAATTGCACTATTTGCAAGATCATGATTGTGAATAAAAGTGAATAAATGAAGAAACAATAGGGTAAAAAATCTGAACAAAATACTAATGGGCAGGTTTTCAGAAGTCTCTAGAAAAATATAGTAAAGCAGGAAAAAAAATCAGTTAAGCTACCTCAAGGACCATATAAATGACTAAATCAAAATAGTAGTTTCCAGCTACTTTCAAGTAATAAACGCATCCTGGGCGCCATACTAGGTGAAATATTGAAAGCCTTTCTACTCCTCGGCATATAAATACTGTAAATGAAATCCAAAACAAGGGTATACTTATGTTCCAATAGATACAGAAGGACTTAGAGGACTACTCTAATAAAACACAATAGGAAGAGAAGCTGGGTTTCAATAATCCCTTAATTAATCCATGTTGTCATGCCTTTCATTTCATTTAAAAATGCGAGTTGAAAGGATTCGTAAATATCAGCTAATATTAGGAGAGTGGCTCGCCGCAATCATAATGACTCATTATATCCCAACTTTGTCCACCTTCAATTATGATTACGTACAGGCAATACTTGGAAAGAGGAAAGGGAATAATAGGATAAGAAACTGAGACAAGGATCCAACAGAATTCAAGGCATAAAGAGAATGAGCTGTAGTATTTATTGAAAAATGATGCAGGCTTTAGATGACATTGAAACCTATAAGATGATTACCAAGAGAACTAAATAAAGCCTGAAGTTAAGACCCAATGATGACCTACAAGAATGTGTAACAAAAAGGGAACGAGAGAAGATAAAAAAGACACAATTCGACAAGGCGCCAGGCTTTAAAATTTGTATGGTGTATCCAAAATGCATAAAGGTACCGCTTAGAATTATTGTGAAGAAAAAATGTTGTGCGATACATCACGAGATCATGATCACTAATTTTCAAAAATCTCCAAGACTTAGCAGTTTGCAGTGTATAATTTCTATAAGATCGTTAAGTAAGTAGTCACCATGGGTAGCTTAAGGCCATCTAAAGAGACCTAGGGCAACTAAATTCTTATTCAATAATTGCTGTTAAATCTTGGAGATTTTAAAAAATTAATGACCATGAAATCGTGACGCATCACACGGCATTTTTATTTACAATCATTCTAAGCGGGACCTCTTTATGTATTTTTTATACACCATACGCATTCGTATACCAAAAATACGTAACATAATCGAATGAAATGGCAAACACATATTTGCGTAATTGACCATACCAGCATAAAAGTGGTTTGGATGAGGCACGATTTGCCTTGAATGTCACATTTTTCCTGTAACCATCTGAAACCTGTGGCTTGAGGAGACTATTAACGTCTCCATGATATTGATGAGACCAGGGCGAGGTAGAACCATATTGTTAGTCATTAAATCATCTTAGGCGACCTGGGCCTACTAAGTTCTTATTCAGGAATTTATGACAGTTTAGAAAACTACTTAAATCAAGAGTTGATTAATTAGATGAATAGATTATGAAAAGCAGGGAGTTGCGGGCAAGCTGCGATGTAATTTCAATTTATGCTAACATTACTGCAGGAAGAGTTACACAGACTTTAAAATGCGTATGAAGTAAACACTCAGAGTATCTCATGAATAAAGGCTCAGGAGTCAATCATTATATTGATAAATTTAGATATGAGGAATACACACTTTATTTATAATGGTAGTTCGTACAAAAACATGAGGGCATGCCACGAGATAGTGTTTGTCACTGAACTTAGCAAGCAAATGTGACTCAAATGGAGGGTTACCTAATTTAACAAATACTTTTAATCAATAAATCATCGCTTAGGTATATTGATGACACGGCTAAGAATGTCAGAGTAATCGCTATAGATTAGTCACTAGAATAAATGGGATGATTCAATAGCCCATGAAATTATAAAGGAACGATAGCATACCTTGCTTGGATGCATTAGTCATCAAAGAAAGAGCTAAAATGAGTAGATAAATGTAATGGAAATTCACAAATCAGGGTTCCCCACAGAATTTATTTTCAAGACGTAGTTAAGGGGATAAATTAGGAGCAGAAAATCCATGATAAAGAGCATATAACTTTCAAACTTTAATCACTGGAACCAGAATAAAAGCAGATTAGAGAAAATATCATCCGATTATACGTTAGTATTAATGCTCACTTATTTGAGAATACCGTAAAATGTGATTAAAAGAAGCATATATTTGGAATCAAACAAGTGGATGGATCACCCCACAGGATTCAGATGTTACTGCCTTATTAGCTATAGAAAAAAGCAAGCAACTTATAAAAAAAATATGGAAATTAAATGATATATTTTTAAAAAGACACCTTCTTCGGGAATTTTCAAATATTCCCTTCAAATATGGTTGTTACGAGGTATTTTGCTAGTGTTTGTACATTCCCGAGGCTGACTTCTTCGTTTCAAAAAAATATTTAATAAGCTTTCGTCCGTCATATGACTAAAATTACAATAGCAGAATTACTTTTGTAAAACCATAATCAGGCTAACGAGCCAAAACAACTCGCCGGTCACATGCTATAAATATATTCCAGGCCTAAGAAAAAAGGTTCCTAGTAGCTGGGAAAAAGGAGACACCTCAGTGATTTGTTCAGGACAATCCATAAAATGTACTTTGATGAGGTAGAAAATTGCTTAATTCAAGTCATAAGTCAATCTATAAGATTGAGTGTCTTGATGTGCATGTAAAAGTACTATACTAGCAATGATAGCTTAAATCTAAACAGAACGTAACATCTGTCCTTGGTCATCAAGGTTTAATGAACTACATCATCTAACCCTCTTTCTTTATTTTGACCATCACTAAGTAAAGAAACATTGAGATTAGATGACTGAATCAAGAATAAACTGAATTTCCTTTAGAAATAGTTTGACCTTTTTTCGCGACTTGATCATATTCGTAGAAAGACCTAGAGGAACACACCTAGTCCGGATTCCATTGTCTGCATGATCATTTCCAAAGTCGGACTGTGGACGTGGTACATTCCCAGAAGCTTCGCCGGCATCGTCAGTGAGTATCGCCATTCGTAGCACCATATTACAACTCGTCAAAGAGACAAGTGAAGCCGATCCTTTAACCAATTATCTACTAACCAATTGTGATATCTCTCCTTCTGTCGTGGGCTATTCGCCAATACTATATCCTTATATCACCCCTTCATTATCAAAATCCCTTAATTGCTTATTGATATGTAGTATCGTGTGCCCTTTTGAGCGGATTTCATGAGAAATCTCGAAACTCCACGCTAGCTTTCTCCCCCCTTCACCCTTGTGCTGAAAATATTGATCAGAGTCTGATATATTATTCCGCAATCCTTTCCCATAAATCCCATCTGAGTCTCCCTCTTTCCCCGTAGGATCAGCCTCCTACTTTCCTGGTTCCCACATTTCACTTGACCCCTGCCAACTGATCTGTACTACTAGAAGCGTTATTTCCCACACTGTCGCAAGCCTTTGATGACACACATACTCCCGCCTCGCTGAGTAGGCTTCTAAAAACCAGGATTCTCAAGCTGGATGGGAGTAATTGTTATGATCAAGTCTTTGTTTCATGGACCAGGTCTATGATCACACACGTCTACTGTTAGCCAACTAACTCTAGTATCCGCCGAATCTACCCATAGTACCAAGTCTATGACCTCCTATGTCCTAGTCTCTTGTGTGCCAACCCACAAATGTTGTAGTCCTACATTGAAACTAATCAAAATAACTAGAACCACAACATTTGTTGGTTGGCAGACAAGACCCGGCACTATGGGTAGAAGCACAATAGATGCGACGGAGACTAAAACTAGTTGGCTAAAAGTAAACGTGTCTGATCATAGACTTCGTCCATGAAGGAAAGGTTTGACTATTAGAATTACGCAGGATCTTAAGCCTTAAGTTAGTTTCCCATCCATCTTGAGAAGCCTAAGTTTTAATGGCCTATTCAGCGAGGCGGGAGTATGCGTGACATCAAAGGCTTGATACAGTGTGGTAAAGAACGCTTCGAATAGTACATATAGGGTGGCAGGGATCGAGTAAAATACCTGAACCAGGAAGGTAGGAGACGGATACTACGGGACAATAGGGAGAATCTGTTAAGACCTATAGTAAGAGGATTGCGAAATAATATGGCAGATTCTGATCAACATTCCAAGCACAAGGGTGAAAGGGGATGAAAGGGTGAGAAAGCCAGCGTGTGGTGTAGAGAGTTCTCATAAAATCAGCTCAAAAGGGAACACCATACCACATTTTAATAAGCAACTAATGAATTGTGATAGTGAAGAGGTTATACGAGGATATGGTATTGGTGAATAGCCCAGGGCAGAAGGAGAAATACCACACTAGTTTAGCAGAAAATTGGTTAAGGAATCGGCTTCGTTTGTCTCTTCGACAAGTTGTATTCTGTTGCTAAGAGCTGCAAGCCTTACCGACTATACCGGAGAAACGTATGGGAATGTACCACGTCTACTGGCAATTATTATGCATACTATAGACTCCGAACTAGGTGCGTTCCCCTAGGTCTTCCTAGCAATATGAGCAAGTTTCGAAAACAAGGTCAAACAACTTCTATACAACGAAGGGAGATTGCGACTATACAAAATTTCATATCATATTATTCTTCATATCTTCCATTAATTTCCTTTAGTTGAGTCGCATCCCTTAAAACGGCTTTACATTATCTTTAATTTAAACTTAGTAAATGACCATATGTAATTATTATTTAGCTTCATACCGACGTTCCTGAAATCCGATGTAGTGACTACTCAAGTAATTTCGCTTGCAAGCAAGGGTGAGGGAAAGAAATACTAAGAGAAATACCGATAAGCAAGAGGAAGCTTGATCATCCTCGAATTTGGCTGATGTTCTCAAGTTTTGCATGACCCGAAAGCATCGAATGCATGCAAAAAATGTGCATGTGAATGTACACTCAGGAACACGCATCAACGAAGCTATAACAAGCCCCAGGATAACTGGATCAGACGCTAGTTTACTTACATAAACAAAAGTTTTGACCACATCTTCTCCACTTCCTGCATCACTTTTACTCGCCTGCATCCAAATAGAACAAGCATAAAACAGCCAAACAAATCATGGAATGCCTCATTAAGATCGTAAAGTGAGGTAGAAGAAGTAAGTAGGATCTCAGGTGGCCAGCTTTCTTGGCTTAGTAATTTGGTGCTTGTCCGTGAATAATGGTTTATGGCTCCGACGGCGTCCATTACATGACGGACGAAAGCTAGCATGGAGTCATCGGAGTTGTAGGACTGTGATTCGAGGCCTACTTCGCACAATTCAAGAGACAAGAGTCCGAGGCAACCCTTTTTCGGTATCAGATGAAGCCTATCTACGAATCCCTTCCACCCGTCTATCCTAACGAAATGAAATGTATGCCATTATTAATCTACTAAGAGAGTCTTCGAAATCCTGTTTCTCTTCATAATAGGAACGTGGTTTTTAGAGCATGCATGTTGGCTAGTAGCAAAATTATTAGTGAACCAACCCTTCGCCTCAAGTCTGGTGAGATGGAGTTGCAGTCTTTGTCACCAGCTGCAAGAGTTGGCGCATCAGAATCAACAGAAGCTTCGAGTGGCACATTTGTTTTATCCCTTGGGCTTGCACCAGTTGACAAGGTAAAAATGGGTACAAGTACACCGGGGTTACCAACAGCGGAGTCAGGTTCGGAAAGTCGAAGAATGTTGATTCGAGTTGACTTATTCAGATTCACATTGTATATAGTTCGATACGTACGCACCAGAAGTAGACGGGCCTGAAACAACATTAGGCAATAACTATATAGAGCCTTGGGGCATGGCAGAAACTGGTAACTTTGAAAGGGTGAAGTTAAATATATAAATTGGAGCGTGGATGAAGTTAGAAAAGACCAAAAATCAAAACTGATAATAATTTCCCTCAGCAAAATTCCTAAAGGTAAAAATAGTTCATGAATTATCGTTTAGTGATATACTTTTCCAGATAATTTGATCCACAATAAAATGTCGGAGAATTTCACTGTGCATTCTCACGACACA